AACTAGACCTGGGGGAAAAAAATACTAGATCACAGGCACATGAGCCTAAGGGCACCATAACAAATGTCAAGCATTAGCTATAAAGCCCTCCAGTATTGAAATGTGTAACAGTGAAACTGTGTTCTCTGCAGTGCTGGAACACCATCAAATGCCTTTGGAGTTGGATTGGCATTTGTGATCCAGAACTTATCATCCAACGTCAGTACCTGACCTCACCAAGCTCTTGTGGCTGAATGCAATCAAATTTTCACAGCATTATTCTGTTACTGCAGCAAAGGAGGGACACTCCCTATTAATACCTTGATTTCAGAAGAACCATTGGTTGAGCAGGTGTCTAGGACATTTCAGACATATACTTTATCAGGAGTGAACGTCAGTGCTGTGCTGAATGAGTGGTGTGGTGATGGTAGTGGGTACAGCAGTCAGGAAAGGGGGTTAGATTGTCTCGAGAGAGGCAGAGGGTGGTCAGTACATGTGAGAAAATTACTGATCTCGACTGACCTTGGCTCATGCAAAATGCCAGAGGCTCATCCAAAGTGCCAGAGGCTCACAAAGCAGATCAGTGCAGAGCTCACATTTCTGCTCTGTCTTTGTGCTGGATTTCCAGACTCTGTTCTTGTGCCCATTTTTTTTCTTCTGAGCATGCATCTCTCTGGATTTCTTTCACTCTCCCTGCTCTAAGGTCAGTCTCCTACACACTCTGTGCTCTCCATTAAAAGTAGGTTGTAGTCTCATGGCCATGGCCTTTCAGCAAAAGGAGAGCAGAAGTTTCACTGCCTTTCACTATGGTTTCCCACAATGCTCTCACTCCACCAACCTAGCAGTCGGCAACACAAAAAGGTTGCCTGGTGTGTCATATATCTTGTGTTTTGAGGTTCATTAAGTAGGCTGCTTTGTTGTCCACATCCATCCTTGTGCCATGGCATTGATCTGTCCTCAGATCCTTTCGTCCATGTGGCTCTGCACTGCCTGATTCAGTGGCTCAGCCCATGCTACTGCCTAGCTCCCAAATCCACTGTAGTGTGCAGAAGTCAGCATGAGCACTGCTCTCTACATCTGCTGAGATAAGTCACATGTGGAGCACTGCCTGGTCCCCAGTAGTGACTGTTGGAGTTGCTTTTGGTAAGAAACAAAGGAAAAACAAAGTTATTTTCAGTTGTTGCCAAAGGATTTAAAGCCACATGCAGTAGACTTTGCCAGGGTTTTTGTCTGAGTGATATGTGGATTGTGGATTGTCTTGGCAGATGTTAAAGCGATGGTTCAGTGAAAAAGCAACTTTCTGCAATATTCCCTTTACCCCAAATATAGTCCATCAGCCAAGATGTGTTTTCTTCTTTAAGTTTTGCACTGGAACTAATGTAGTTAGCAAGTAATGGAAGCATATGCCGATTAGCACCAATTAGTATCACGCAAATCCTTCGGCAAATAAACAAATTCAGGAAATTGTAGTAACTTTGGTTTTATCAAGAAAGCTATCGGTGGAACTTCTTGCCATTTTACAAACCCAATTCCAAAAAAGTTAGAACAGTATATGAAATGTCAATAAAACAGAAAGGAGTAATTAATTAAATTAAATTATTGAATTATTAAATTATGTTTGACCTGTATTAAATTGAATATTACAAAAACCTAAAATATTATGTTTTACCTTATAAACTGTATTGTTTTTTGTTAATATACAGTCATTCTAAATTTAATACCTGCACCATGTTCCAAAGAACTGGGACAAGAGCTTGTGTACCACCGTGATACTTCATCTTCATTACTTTTAAGAACACTTAATAAACGTTTTGGGGCTGAAGACACCAATTGATCCAGTTTTGAAAGCAGAATTTTTTGCCACTCTACAGTTATACAACTCTTCAGCTGCACAACCGTATGAGGCCTTCGTTGTCATATTTTGAGCTTAATAATGTGCCACACATTTTCAGTGAGAGTCAGGCAGGCCAGTTTACCTCCCACGCTGTCTGTTTATGCAGCTATGCTGTCATAACGCGTGCAGGAAGTGGCTTGATGTTACATTGAAATAATCATGGGTGTCCCAGAAAAAGATGTTTTTTATGAGGTAGCACCTTACTCCAAAATTTGTTTAGCATTAATGGTTTCTTTACAGAAGTGTAAGTTAACCATTATGACAGGCGCTTGCTTTTGAACTTTATGCTGGTAACAATCTGGATGGTCCTTTGCTTCTTTGGCCTGGATAACAAAATGTACATTATTACTGTAAACAATCTGAAAAGTTGAACCATCAGACCACAATACATGTTTCGAATGTGCTCAGTCTATTTCAGAGGAGCTCAAGCCCAGAGAAGTTGGCAGCGTTTCTGGATGTTGTTGACATGGCTTATACTGTGCTTAGTATACAGTCTTAACTTGCATTTGTGGATGCAGCGATAAACAGACAACAGCTTGTAAAAGTATTCCTGAGCCTTTGTGGTAAAATCCATTACAGAAGCATGCCAGTTTATAGATAATAGTGTGTCATACCGCATCAGAAACCATATGAGCAAGAGTATTTGAAATTGCGTAACAGCTCCGTGTGGTTTGAGGTAAGTGTGTGATTACTTCGGCATGCATTTTGTACAGTGCTAAATTGGTGTCTGTAAGCTTTCATTAATTGTTAGCCTCCTAGCTCCAGTGCAAAACTAAAGATGCAACCTTCTAACCTGTTTTGGCTGATTGAACGCATTTAAGGTAAGAGGAAAACTGTGCGTTGTCACTTTAAGTGCTGTTTCTGTGAGTTTAGCAAGGCTATGATCAGAATGTTCAGTTCACTGTACTTAATAGACATCTGCTGGCCAGCTCAACCTTAGGTCACCCAAACACATCTGAATGTCTTACAAAACATCACCCTCTTCTTGAACTCTCTCTCTTTAAAGCAGACAAAAGAAAACACGGCCTGTTTAAGAGTCCAGAGTGACTGCGGCTGCATTACTATTCGAAGCACTTTTCTTCTACTCCTTATAAAATGAAACTCCTGGCTGTTAAAAGAGCAGAATTAATCTTCTCATTGTGTGAAATTTACAGCTACTTGAATATTTAAGAGTTCTTTTTGGCTGCGGTCAATGCCACTTCCCTAAAGTGCCACACCATGCTCGAATGGCTTCCGGGGGCTGTTAGTGAGGGTGTTAGTTTGTAGACAAAAGAGGGCACCTTGCTGCGGCGGCTAAGGGGAAATGATTGCACAATGGCAGGAATGGTGCCCATTTAAGAGGAAACCTTCCATTTAAGAGAAAATTGCCCCCCTGTGCAGAATGCAGGAATGAAGGCCTAGTTTGGTCAGGGCCAGGGCTCTAGGGGGCAGCCTGCTCTGGGCAGGGTGATGAGCCCCTGACCGCTGGAACTGCCTCTGCTGCTCTAGCGCAGGTTCTAAATCTATCCTTGGAGAGTGCTTGTGCTTTTGTATGACTGATTTAGGCGCAGAGGGAGCTGTAACCCAGCATGGCCCAGCTGAGCCCCAGCACTACATCTCCAGTGTGACTGGCAGGGCATGAGCTTTCCCACAGTGTTCCCTGCTTGTCGCTACTCTTGAAATGAGTGAAATGATGATGATAACCCATTGGCATCATCCTTTGATTTGTTTTAGTTATATTTGTGTCAGCATGTTGATGAGCTCATTAACAGCACTTAGTGGTTGTGCCACCACAGAGATGATGCTTTGATTATGAATGGATAAAGTGATTCTCCTGGGACTAATCAATTTTACTCTTAACAACTAGGATGATACTAGGGCTGCACAATACCAGTGTTGTGATCATAGTACTACATGATGTGCTTGCAGTATGCCTTGCTATATATTGTCACTGGTGGACCAAAATCTTCTATCTCCAAACTGATAATGCTAGTTTATGAGAAGCATGGCCTCTTCCTATTTCCCCTGTTATATCAAAAACATGACAACAAAATGCCAGAGGGCACCAACGAGTGAGTCCTCTGGGGGGTGAATGGAGCTAAACAGCTAAAAACAAATAGTTAAAATAAATTCTGGGCAAGTGATTAGAACTTTCCTTTAATTTTAGAAAGTAGAAGGATGCATTTCACTAAAAAAGCAAAGAAAACCTACCTGTATGTTTCCTTTGTTTTACAGCAAACAGGTTTTGGCCAGCAGGACGCTATCATTTCTGCTACTGAGTGCTGATTGGTTGACGAGTGGAGCAGCTTTTTGGCTGTTTGTGCTCGCTGATGTCATGAATGTACATGAGGCATCGTTTTGAACTTATACTTCTATAACTCAAGCTCATAAACTCTTAAAAATACAACAGTGGTGTTAAAATGTTTTATGCTCTTCTTTGTTCAGAAAATTAATGTATTCTTTTACATTTAAAATGTTTAAGCATTTATAAGCTATGATTTTGCTCAAATACTTCATCTTAACCCATTCATTTTGGACTCACTTGGGAGCGCCCTCTAGTGTTTGAGAAACCTGGAAAACCTTGAAAACCTGGAAGAATACAGAGTGGTAATTCTCCTCTCTACAAGTTCTCTGCTAATAACTTTACAGAAGAAAAAAATATCTTAAAAATGAAATTATTATTACATTTTTTTTATTTTTAGTGTAAATTAAAGATATCTTATTCCAAGTAATTGTGGACCATTTCTGTTGGTCCACTTATCAGAATTTTTTCACACAATGTAAAGGGCAGCTCGTATTTTCAAATTATATAGAAAAATTAAACCAATACAAGGTTTTGTTACAGCTGCAGTGATTTTAAAACCACACTGGTTTTAATCATTATTGTGGTATTGTTAGAGTCTGGTCTGCATTATTTTGAAAAATATATTTATTTAGGTTGATTACATGAAAACATTGATTAATTAAATACCCGTGGAAAGACTCCGCCTGTGCTGTGATAGGTCGATATGTTCATCGTAAAAAATATCTGTATATATATGCATGTCTTGTGAAGATCAAAATAACAATTAACAAATAATATATTGTGCGGCCTTAGGTGATGAACAGTGACAGCTAACCGGTAGCTTGTGTGTGTATATCTCTTCAGCATAGTGTCAGAAAGCTCTTTGCTGGATGAGGAATCATCTGCCCCCATACCCAGCCATCCATTCCCAAGCCAGGTGGAAAATAAAGGAGGGGTTCAGCTGACTGTGCCCTCGAGCATGCAGAAGAACATTCAGAAGTACCGAGAAGCCCATGATTCCTATTTACGCTTAGTGTCCCACGAGGCAGTGGGCAGCTTCAACCCCTGGGCCGTCGCCGAAAGGTGAGATCCTGCCATCTATAACCAGCTGTGACTAATCAGCATAACCACTTCTTTGAAGAAGTGAAAATGATGTTATATTAAAACAGGAATGCCAAACTCAGTTTCTGGTGGGCCACAGATCTGCAGGTGTTACAGTTTTTTCTCTTCTGCCAATCTGAATTCAGCTTACAGAGGACTTGTTAATTAGCTGGTGAATTGAATTGGACGCATCTTAAGAGGTAGAACACTAAACAAAAGTATGTTGTGTAGCTAAAAACAATGTAAGCAGCCAATTTGGAAGTCGTTATTTTGTCTGTACTTTTTTCATTTTTATAGAAAACAATGTCATACAGTGTCAGAAACTACATAGGTCTATTTGTGATTAAGTACCCCTAAAGTTGTAATTAAAAGCATTAAATAGTTAGATATTTTATGTTATTGTTACTGTTTATTGAAAATACTAAAAATGGCTGAAAAATCTGAAGAATTAAGAATGCAAATATTTTTGAATATGAACAATTGTGCAAAAGACTCCCTTGCCCTCCTCACTGTGCTGCACACTGTGCTTTTACCTTCAAACTAGAGGCAATGGATGAGATGGAGAAGAGCAAAAACAAAAAATAAACTCTCTCTGTAACAGTATTAACATTATTAAAAATAACTCAGCAATATAATTAATTCATCCACCGGTAAGTTTTAAATTGAACAATGATTTGCTAAATGTTTTATAGTGCTAAAGAGAGTACAGTGGAGCTGATTATGTTAGCGCTAGCTTAGCCAGCAGGCTAACAGCTCTTTACACCAAACCAAAAATGTCATGATTAATTATGTTAGAGGTATGAGGTAGATTGTGTGAAATGGATCCCCCCCCACCCCCCCCAACTATTGGTTTAAGACCGCAGAAGAGTTTGGTTTCGTGAGGGCATTTGATCGAAAATTAATTTTCTCTGTCTAGCTTTTGATTTCGACGGAGCCCCGCTAGTGACATCCTTTATCAATACAAATAATGCGTGGTCACGACTTAGTGAGGCGTGGGAATGAGATGATTAAGTCGTGGCTATGACTTAGTAAAGCATGGGAACGAGATCCTAATGCATGGCCATGACTTAGTAAGCTGTGATCTCATTCCCACGCCTTACTAGGTCATGGCTTTAGGATCTCGTTCCCATGCATTAATAAGGCGTGGCCATGCATTATTTTTATTTATACAGGATGTCATCATCAGGGCTCCGTAGATTTCTGCTATTTGACTGTATAATCATTTGAATGGGTTGGAGCTCAAATCATGTCTTTGGAAGAACAACTCCAAGGCTTCAGTGCTGATGTGTGTGGCCAAAGCCGGAGCCACGAATTACTTGTAGCTTCCACTATTATTCCCACAGTGACACAACCAGTAGGAATTTACAGTGGTTACAGCCTGGAGGCTGTAATGCATCTCAAACATTGTGCCATCTTACATGTAAATATTAGCTCCAATTTATTCAGCAGGGTCGGTGTGGAGCGTGCTCAGTGTGCATGAATGTCTCTGTTGTTCTGTGCATACTCAAGCACACCCACCACATCATTAGCATAGTTAACAGAATTTTTAAGTTGGTGCAGTGCGCAATATCTTTGTTGTAGGAGTTCACCAAGAGCCCTTGAGCTTGATTAAGTTTAAGTACACTTTTCCAAACTCTGTAAGCATGAAAAAAGTGCAGCAAATCTGCTTAGAGCATTTTCAGAGGAGAGCGGAGAACTTCATCCTACCTCCCTATAGACTGTCCATGTGGGAGCATGACTTGCTGTAGAAATCATTTTCTAATCAATACAGAGAAAAGAAATGAGTTATAATGTCTTAGTTTTGCCAAAGTGAAATTTATTCCTTTCAGAAGCTTTGGTTAATAGGAAGGGGAGTGAACTCAATTGAGAGTCATTATACTGTGCACATTTTAAGCCCTTTCACAGATTTGAAATAATTTTTAGCAGTTAAATGACAAAGTATTATTTTTGAGGAAAGGAAAAAGATGTGAAATGTGTGAGTTTGTTCTGGTGCTGAGCCAGAGTACAAGCGTAAGTCAACCTCCCTGAGCAGTTTGGGTAATGGGACTCAAAAAGACACCGGAGGCCCTGTGGTGGCCCTCTCTTGGCCCCCCTGGTCTTCCTATGTGCTGCACACACACTTTAAGGGGAGTAATGCGCAGATGGCTGAGAGGAAGGTTTAGGGTTTTGAATAGATAGACAGATCTGATAATAGATCTGAAAATGCATTGGCTCAAAAGTTACATATAATAGTAGCCACTGGGCAGATCCTGAATAATGTAAGTAAATGTTTAAAATATGTAACTGAGTAACACAAAATTGAAACTACAACCACCTTGTCTTAACAGCACCTACCTACTCTATGTCCATGCTTGAAACGTCAAATCCATGCGTCGAGTCAGAATGTGAACAAACTACAGACCTATCAGTAAATGGCTCAGGACTTCAGCTACAAATTGGCAGCGTGTCTTTAGTGAATATCCTTTTTTCAGTATATGTAAGCTACATATTTTACATGTGTTTAGCACATTTAAATATTGATAGTTTACAGCCTTTTAGCACTCTAGCAATTTCACCATTAACCTAGTGAATATGGGTCATATGGGTCTCTACCCAGTCTATCCTCATCCATTTTTAGCTAGTTTAACAAAGTTTTGGCGAAAGGTGGCTGAAATACACTGTATTTGTTGAGGTGGAATAAAAACCCGACAGGCTAAGTGTTGGCCCTATCACTGGGAGACTGCGAGTTTGATCCCTGGCGATGCCACAGCTGTCCATGGCCAGGAGACCATAAGAGCAAAACTGGCCTCACTCTCTCTCTCCCCCCATCAATCAACACAGGAGTCTGTTAGTTGACGTAACAGATTTGGTCTCCGAGTGCGTTGAGCTGTGACGCTGTGTTAGCGGCAGCTGGAAAAGATGTGGTGCTTCATGTGTCTCAGGAGGAAACACGTGCTACCCTTTACCCTCCCAGCTTGACTGCACTGTTTGATGGGGAGACCTAGCCAGTGGGTGGAATTGCCAATGACTATATTTGCTGCATCTCATCACACCACATTCTGCATTTAATGCTCATGGCTGGTGTGGAAAGCTTCATTTATTATAATCTGAGCATTTTGGTTTTCTCGTTGACGAAGTGTAATGATGAAACAGACATGACAGAATGTCTGACCAAATCTGCTGTTATAAGGGTATTTTGATTCAGCAGTTTAATGTTCTTTTGTAAGTACAGGAAACAAGGAATTGTTGTCTGTGATAATCGACTACATGCTACAAGTTGAAAACACTGTAGTATTCCTTTAACTGATAATTGTTGACTTGTGAACAAGAGTACATCACGCTCAAATGGGGTCCAGCATGGGATAAAGCGCCTCAAGACATTGCGGCCTAATATAAACAGAAAAAGAGTTCTGTTGTTTATTTTTATTTCTGTTCTCTCTCAGTCTGGCTGAGGAGCTGATGGAAGAGGCCTTGACGGATGTGGCAGCAGAGTTTCAGCACGTTTGTGAGGAGTACGCAGAAGCCATCTTCACCTCAGAGTTTCTCCAGCCAGTGCAGTCTCCTTCTCTGTCTGTGTCATAGCAGTGGAACCAATAAGAACTCTCCATCATGGGTGCTATTTCTGTTGAATCTAAATATCACTTCTGTATTTCTTAGGCTTTTTAAGGGAAAAAGGCTGAATGATGTTTAAAAATGCAGCAGTTTTAAAGTGATTTTTTTTTTCCTGGATGTTTTTAGACTTGTGTGAATGTTCTCACTGTTGTTGCTATGGCCCCTGTGAGCTTTCTAGGAAAAAAGTGACATAATTAATGCATTACATAGGATTATACGATTATGTTCCCTTTCCCTTTCCATTTATAACTTGGCCCAGACCATTAAATTTTTACACTCACATGAGCCTGTGACTGCACTCAAGGACTCACAGTCTATGCGTTTTTATTACTGTTGTTGGAAACCAATTTACATACAAAGGGGAAAGAAAAAAGAAACCGTTTCTCATTACCATTAGATGTGTGCAGTGGGCACTAGTGTGGTGTGACTGAGGTGCAGTAATTAAGTGGCAAGTGATAATAGTAGTGCGCAGAGGCCAAAGTGCTAAATGAATTCATGTGTTATGTCCTGAAGGGAGAGGAGAGACAAAAAAGTGGATGAGTCCAGATGTTGGACTGGCCTACAGGGAATATGCTTGTGACAGAGGACACACAGTGACTGAGTAAATTAGCCATTTTGCATGGGTTGTGTGTGTGTGTGTGTGTGTGTGTGTGTGTGTGTGTGTGTGTGTGTGTGCGCATGCATGCATTTCTTCACCACCAAATATAGAAAAAGGTTATGCAAAGGTTGCTGTACTCGTGCCATACGGACAGTGCTGTTATTCTAAAGAAGTGCTTTAATACGCCCCCTGACCATCTGCATCCTAACAGCCATTACCATACATTCGCAGCATCAACTCAGGAAGAACTGTGCATTCTTGGCATTGCATTATACTGAATGTGTGTGCCTGTGGGTGTTTGTGTTTTATTACTTGATTAAATATTATATTGCAGTAATAACGTTTGATGATCAACTTAATTATGAAGGTTTCAGGTTATTTAAAAGCTGGAATAATAGATATATACAGGGTGATTCAAAAAGATTCATCCAATTTCAAAATGATTTATTTCACTTCTAAATCATTACAGAACAATGCAGTAAATTGTAAATGGTTTAAGTGAGCATGAAGTTTATTATATAATTTTACAAGTGCTCAATATGACCTGCTCCAGCTGTACAGACAACATCAACATGATAGTTAAATTCATCATACTCGATTGAGCATGTCGGGTGTCACTGTACTCATGACTCCTTCAATGCAATTTCAGAGATGATCCAGTGTTGCTGGGAGTGGTGGCACATAAACAGAATCCTTAATGTACCACACAAAAAAAGTCACATGCCATGAGATGTGGTGATGCTAGTGGCCTTTTTCTTGGAACTGAATGCACTAAGCTGTTGGAGGTTCACTGCCATACTGACAGTCAGAAACTCTATGACCCTCTCTTTTAATTGGTATGTGATTGGTTCCTAGACACCTCACAGTTGTAAAAATATGGCGCTTTGAAATCAGATGAATCTTTTTGAATCACCCTGTATGATCGTATATACTAGACAAACACTCAGTGGGCATATGATTATGTAAGCCTTCGTTGTGCAGTACTCTGCCAAAGTCAGAGAACACCCTTTATATTTTATTTTCAGTCAAAGCAACCATTAAGTGGAAGATGTTTATTTTAAATGACGTATTTTAATTAGATAAAAGATAATGCACTTACATTAGGAAGGGGAAAGTCAAAGTAAAAATAAATGGGAAAAAAAGAGGTTTCCAAAACTGGTGTTCAAAAAAAATTATTAAAAGCTTTGGAGACAATGGGACTCCTAATAACCGTGCAATTTAAGCAATACAACACGAGAGGGAGTGTGTTATCGTGAAATAACATCATGGCTGTGATTTGGATGCAGCCGTGACGCTGTTCGCGATAACACGCGACCTCGAGTGTTCTACTGCTTTTATATATAACAGTTAAATAAATAAAGTAAGAAATAAATAAATTGGGCTGTGAACGTGGCATTTAGTATGTTTTAATGTCAGCAATTCCTTCTGCCAAATTATAGTTCCAACAAGCAGCCTGTTGCTACGCAGAGTAACGAGCTCCGCTCACTCGCTGCACAGCCAGTCGTTCGCTCTCCAGCTCCTTACACTAAATTCCGAAACTGTCATCACCACTGAGCAAGTTTTTCATTCTGCAGCTGTGACAGAAGAACACCTAAACAACCTGGAATTAGCCAGAAATGAACCGAATACCATTCGTTTAAGTGTAAGTGTAAGTGGAAAAGTGTCTTGTGGTTCAGCAAATCAAAGTTTGAAATTCTTTCTGGAAATCATGGACGCTGCATCCTTCAGGACAGGGACTGTCCAGCTTGTTATGAGTGCACAGTAAAAAGCCAGCATCCGTGATGATATGGGGGTGTATTAGTGCATGTGGCAAGAGTGACTTGCACATCTGTGAAGGCACCATTAATGCTGAATGATATATACTGGTTTTGGAGCAACATATGCTGCCATCCAGACAATGTCTTTTTCAGGGAAGGCATATTTCAGCAAGGCAATGCCAAACCACATTCTGCATGTATTAAAACAGCATGAGTCTGTCGTAAAAGAGTCCGGGTGCTAAACAGGCCTGCCTGTAGTCTAGACCTGTTACCCACTGAAAACATTAGGTGCATTATTAACTGAAAAATACAATGAAGGAGACCCTGAACTGCTGAGCAGCTGAAATCCTATATCAAGCAAGAATGAGAAAACACTTGACTTTCAAAACTACAGCAGTTGGTCTCCTCAGTTCCCAAACATTTACAGAGTGTTGTTAAAAGAAGAGGTGATGCAGCACAGTGGTAAACATGTCCCTGTCCCTTTTTTGGAAATGGCGTTGTTTTATTATTTTGAATAAATTTAAATAGAAATGACTATTAAAAACAAACTACTACTACTACTAATAATAGTTTTAACCTTTTTTCCTCTGTTTTCTTTTTATGCCTGCTGGGTGTAGTCTCATGATGCTTGATATGAGTATTTTGAATTTGCGAGGCAGGAGATTAACTTCCCTTACCAGTCATGGCACACAGCCCTCAATGCCAAGGATGAGATTGCTTCTAAAGAAGAAAAAAAAAAAGTTCAAATTAATTGAATTAGCTTTTTTCCCCGCTTGCAACAAGCCAGTGTAATCAATGTTATCTGTCTTGCTGTCTTGCCTGGCCCTGGGGGGTGTTTCTCTGTAGCTGCTCTTACAAGAATCTCAGCACAGTGACTGTGAGAAGTGTTTTGTCATTGGACTTCCTGACTGCTACAAATAGGCCCGGTCCCTCAAGGAGTGTGGTAATGTAGCGTGGCCAGTTCACTGAGATTGCAGGAGGAGAGCTGGCCCCCAGGTCTTTGCTCCCATCAGTATTCATTTAGTGACATACTTGTGTACAGAATGAATTTGGATTGCTGATGGGCCTCATGCAGTCTTATGTTAGGTGTTTTCGATCAAAAGTATGTGGACACCTGATCATCACATCCATATAAGCTTGTTGCATATCCCATTCCGAAACCATGGGCATTAATGTGGAGTTGCCCCCCTCTATGCGGCTATAACGGCCTCCACTCCTCTGGATTTGGAGTGTGTCTGTAGGAATGTTTGCCCATTCAGTCAAAACAGCACTTGTGAGCTCAGGCACTGATTTTGGACGAGAAGGTCTGGCTCACAATTGACGCTCCAGTTCATCCCAAAAATGTTCAGTGGGGTTGAGGTCAGGGCTGTGTGCAGGCCACTGTAGTTTACACTAAACTCATCAAACCATGTCTTCTTTACAGTCCTCATAATGTGCACAGGGGCGCAGTCATGCTGAAACAGAAAAGGTTCTTCCCCAAACTACTGCCACAAAGTTGGAATTATGTAATTGTCTAAAATGTCTTTGTATGCTGTAGCAATAAAATTATCCTTCACTGGAATTAAGGAGCTGAGCCTAAACCCTGAAAAACAGCCCCAGACCATTATCCCTCCTCCACCAAACGTTACTGTTGGCACTATGCACTCTGGTAGGTAGCGTTTTCCTGGCATTTGCCAGTTAATGAAGCGTAATTCATCACTCCAGACAACACGTTTCCACTGCTCCAAAGTCCGGTGCTACTGTGCTTTAGTCCACTCTAGCTGATACTTGGCAGTGTGCATAGTAATCTTAGTCTTGTGTACAGCTGTACAGTGATGCAACAGAGGATGGGTCATTTTTATACACTGTGTGCTTCAGCACTCGGCAGCCTCACTCTGTGAATTTGCATGGTCTACTGCTTTGCAGCTGAGCTATTGTTGCTCCTAGGTGCTTCCATTTGACAATAATAGCATTTACAGTTGAACAGGGCAGGAATTTCATAAACTGACTTGCGGCAAAATTGGCATCCTATAACAGTGCCACATTTAAAGTGCTTGATTTTATACGCATGTTAGGGTTGAGTGTTCTCATTTTTGTCATAATGGTAGAGGAATATTGATTTCACATTATAGACCAATCATGAATTTTTATGGATGATTCTTCTTTCTTTAAAACCAGCCGATGGCTGATGTCTCTCTACCCGCACCCCGCATCCCCCCCCACCCCACCTGATACTCACACTGTATGGGCTAAATGAATAAATTACTAGCACAGTTCCAGCCCAGTCTGTTAGCCAAAGTTGCAAAATAAATAACATTTTTTGCTCTTTAATTGGATGAACAGACCTTATTAAATTCTTAAAAGAAAAATTAGTTGTGTATTTAAATAACTTTAAGAGGCAATTGGCTATTTAGTACAGTGACTCCTGCATAATTGTGCTGTAATATTTTTGTACATGTGCAGCAGCATCATATACATTATATTAAATACAGCATGAGTGCACTGACCTGCCTTGCCATAAAATTACAGCACAGATCAGTCAAAATCAAAATAATATACCTGCAAAGATCTGTTGATTTTGATCTTGTCCGATATTGATCGTACATCCTCTACAGGGAACATGTGCACTAGTGCAACCCTATACCATCATGAATACTGGCTTTTGAACTGTGTACTGATAACAAGCAGAGTGGTCTTTAGCCCGGAGGACGCAGTGTCCTGATTTCCAAAAAGAAATTCAAATGTTAATTTTTCAGACCACAGGACACTTTTTCACATCCTCGCAGTCCATTTTAAATGAATTAGGGCCCAGAGAAGGTGGCAGCATTTCTAGATCTTGTTTATATATGCTTTCTTCTTTGCGTTTAAGAGTTTTAATAAGTATTTGTGGATGCAGCGCCAGACTACTTTCATAGACAGTGTATTTCAGAAGTGTTTTTGAACCCATGCAGTGATTTCCACTGCAGAATCAAGTCTGTTTTAAATGTAGTGCCGCCTGAGGGCCCGAAGATCATGGCCAGCAAATACTGTTTTTTGGCCTTGTCTCTTGCATACAGAGATTTCTCCAGATTCTCTGAATGTTTTGATGTTATTATGTATCATTGATGATGAAAAGCAAAAGTTCTTTGCTATTTTATGTTGAGAAACGTTGTTCTTGAATTGTTGCACTATTTGATCGTGCAGTCTTTCACAGAGTGGTGAACCCTCCTCATCTTTACTTCTGAAAGACTCAGATGCTCATTTTATACCCAATCATGTTATTGACTTGTCAGTTAACCACCAGGTGTTTTTTAGCATTACACAACTTTACCAGCCTTTTGTTGCCCCCGTCTCAACATTATTGGGATGTGTTGCTGGCATCAAATTCAAAATGGTCTTATATTTTTCAAAAACAATATTTCTCAGTTTCAACATCTGATTGTCTTTGAAGCATTTTCAATGAAATATAGGGTTTAAATGATTTGCACATCATTGCATTTTGTTTTTATTTCCATTTTTCACAGTTCCCCAACCTTTATAGAAATTTATAAAATGTGTCATAACTTTTGCAAAGGCCACAGTTTGTGTTTTAATTCTTCGAACTGTTTGATCCATAGCATGTATTGTCTTGCAATTTCTTTATCAAAAGAGAAATATTAATGTTATTAATATGCGTACCATGACACCCCGTTATGGATGGACTCTGGCCAGTTCTTAACTCATCTTTGTGGATGGACTCTGGCCAGTGTGTCAGTGATTTGAATTTTGCATTATGTCAGCCTCTTTATAGGGTGGAATGAAATATTGGTTGTGAAATCTTTGTTTCAAGTGCTAAGTCTTACTCACAGTCACAGAAATCATTATCAATCACATGATTTATGGAGATCTAAACTTCCATTGTCAGTGAAAGCTACTTTCAGCTACTACTGCTCAACAGCACTGATCATTCCTTATTCAGCCTGGTGAATACAATACACAGCGCACGTTTAATTTCTTGTTGAAATCAATTAAAGGCATTACTATTTTGACATGCAGAATGCTCAAGGGGTATTGTGTTGTAGCTGCAGTATGATTTATGACAGGGTCAGTGAACGCCGATTATAGGGGAGCCATAGTTGCCACCATTTAGATGCAAGTGACTGCATCAAGATGATTCAGCTTGGCCCATTCCCTCAGGCACTATTAACGGAAGAAAGCAATTAGCAGCTGCCGTTGATTTGAAATGTTCTTTCACAAATGCTATATTTACTATATAGACATTCAAATTTGCCCATAATTTGATAGTCTTTTGCTTGAATAGGTTGATTTCAAATATGAAATAAAAACAATTTGATTGTTATAAGAAACAAATTCAAAATGTGGCACACACATAGAAAATTCAACTGAGGATTTGAATGGGCTAATAATGCGATTGAATGGGCTGATAATCGGAAACAACCCAGTTGACCTGGTAGAGCTGTTCGAGATAGACTAAAGCCTGCAGATTTCTTATAGACAGATAATACCAGAATGATAGAAAAATGTGTGAAGAAGGAAGCAACATCAGACAGTTCAAAAATACTACTTTAGTGGTGTATAGCGTAATGGCTTAGGCATGCCTGGCTGACTGAAAACTGACTCCTTCATGATTTATGTTGATGTAAGTAAAGATGTCCATGGTGCAATAATATTAAATGAGTACAAAAACATTTTCCACAATTTCCTACCTTAAAAATACATCCAGACTTTTAGATGGTGCTTCATGCTGCAAAGCAATAGCACAAAATACATTGCTGTGGCCTCCAAAGAGTTTATCAAAGGAAAATGTGTAAACAATTTCCTTCAATCTCTTGATTTATTACCAATAACTCACACACTGCAAATGAGACTGACATCCAAAATTTCTCAAACGTTAGGAAAAAAACATAATAATAATAATAATAATAATAATAATAATAATAATAATAATAATAATAAAGGGTTTGGAAATTCAGCTCCATAGACAACTGATAGTAAGACAGTGATGTCAGTTGATAAAGGTTCTGGTTATTGAATGTAAGACATGTGGGATCGAAAACTACACTGCAGACTAATTATTGAGTTTACTGCATTACTTAGTAAGTTGGATGAGGGCATCAAAAACATTTGACCTGACCTGCCTAGTGCTTCTGGGAAGCACTGTATATTTTCATTCATGGCCTGCTACACCTCCTACACTCAATAATAAAGGTGCCCAAAGGGGGTTCTTTGAAGCAGTCTCATATAAGAGCTACCTCTAGAATCTTAAAGAAAGAACCTTTGAATTCTTTGAATGAAAACTTGAAACTTGAAACTACTCAATTGAAAGTTCATTAGGAAACCAAAAGTGGTTCTTCTATGCTCCAAAGAACCCATTTAGGTATATAGCTAGATAGTTATATTGATAGGGAGCTCAGTTAAAAGTCTGAAATGTGACTTCAACTCTGACTTTAAACCAGTCTGGTAGAATTATACAAGGAGTGTTTCCACCTGGACTGCTCTTTGAACAAGGCACAATTCAGGGCAGCCAATCAGAACTGAGCTCATTTACATATATCCATCTTAAAGGCACTGTAACCAAAAAATTTGTGATTTTAAGGGATAAAAAGAGGTTGGACAATGATCATGTAAAAATAAATGACTGTTTTTGTTACACAAAACACACACACATACATACAAATGTCATCAGTGGACCTTAGGAAAAAGAAATAAAAAGCAAGAAAATATGTGGTAATGGGGCCTTAACAGTGCATTCAGAAAAATAAGTTAAAAACCCAACATACTCGTGAGGTCCTGTTGACTCGGGAGCACAAAGCGGCTGCTTAAACCACTTATAGCAAGAAACAGGGTTGTAAACACTTGGTATCAGATTGAATTTAAAAACTGTGGTATATCCTATCAGACCTTACCTCATATAAACCTACCTGTTGCTCTATGACTTTATTCAGCCATGTGTTATCAGGGCTAATGGGCATGAACTTCAGCTATGATGTCCTCAGAGTGATGTCATGTGGGTTAACCCTCATGTGTTGTCCACAGTGCGGGTCATTTGGTAGGTCAGGGTCTTTCAAGCCAGTCTGCATTCTTGCACAATCCTGCACCACAGGTCTATGTGGGATAAAGTCTTTGACAGCAGTCTTTTCTTTCACTGTAAACCGCAGCAGGCAGCGCTGCTGGGGAGTGATCGCGCGTGGAGGGGGCTGGATTACGACGGGGCGCAATTTGCATTTTCTGCGCGTCACAATGTCAAAAGCAGCGGAGCTCGCGCCAGTCAGTCAGTTGCACGGAAGCCGCTGGAGGCAGTCGAGCATCGGCGCTAGACATGCCGCTCTGCCTTTCAGCAGAAGTCTGCACACACACACACACACACTCACTCACACACCAAAGCTCAGAGAGAGCGCTGCAATTCACCCAGAGCGCCCGATCCTGCGTGGATGGATCTACATCACCCCACGGAGCGCTGCCTGTAGAGCATGAAACACAGCGTGCAGGGTTAAGGTCGTCCGCCTCTCCACCACTGCACTGAGACGGACATTCAGGAGGGAGGGGAAGGAGAGAGCTCGTGCGTGCTGCCCAAACCAAACTGCCCAAACGCGCTCCTGGCGCTTTGCTGGACTGCGTGCAAACGCGATCAACGGAATGGCTAAAGAGGCGCGAGGTAAAGGTAAGTGGACAATAGAGCAGGGTCCAGTGAAGCTCTCTGGTGTAAATAGCTCGCGCGAGAGAAGAGCGGCTCTGTCCTCTTCCCAGCCAGGCGCACGCTACTTTCCTCGCCAATCTGTTGGAATGCATGCTGTCGGGAAGTGCGTGTGTGGAATAGCGCGCCCACCCTCAGCGCTGGTGTGTTTATTGCGCCGAGGAGCATGTCATATGAACGTGTCCTGTTTACAAAGTGATGCGCGTTATTGTGAGTGCTTTAAACGTCCAGACCGGACCGCATGAATGTGTGCACTACTTTCGGTAATAGAAAGTGTCCCGTTAGGCCCAGCATTGGTGTGACTACGTGTAATTACAGTAATCATTGTCTTCTATATCCATGCTTGCATTCAAACGTTTCCTCTATGTTTAGTCTTTAGTGTGGTTCACTATTAGTGGTCAACAGGCTAACAGATCTGCCTGTAGTGGAATCTTAAAGGGCTCATATCTTGGAAGACCAAATTTTTCTTGCATTTTATTGAAATGAAAGCATTTTTATGTAGGTTAGTTTGCAATCATTGTTAAAGTTTCAGAATATACTGTTCACTCATTTCTCCTTACAGTTCATAAATGGAAAATGAACAGAATTCATTGTTTTTGTGATGTCACAAAATCTTTGTTTACATATCCAATGATTCAGCCTACAGCAGTTTAGCTCTGCGCACTCACACTAAAGTTATAAGGAGTGTTTCAGCCCCAGCTGGTTTTTTTGAATGAGGCCCAGTACAGGACAGAGTTCATTTACATATATACATTTTGTGAGTTCAGACCGTGCCTAGTATGAGGGAAGACTGATTGAGGGAGGGGGAAGAACTCTGAGAACTTGGGCTGCAGTTCTGGGCAGCTTCTGCCTGTAGCTAGAAGGCCAGACCCCCTCTCATAGCTGTAGTAGGAATGGTGGAGGACTGAGGAACAAGGAGGAGAAGGGATGGTGGTGGGGATTGTGAACACTTTGTCATGGGAACCGAAGGTGAGGATGTGAATTTATAGGGTGTTAGATTGGAAGAAGGAGGAGTTTCAGCCATGTTCCTCCCCCCAGACTTCAGTTATAACATAACTACATATACAGTCTTAAAAGCACAGTAACAAACAGCCGGTTCAACTTAAAGGGATAAAGGGAGATTGGAAACTGGTCATGTAAAATGAATCATTAATGGTTTTGACATATAAACCCACACAGATTCACAGATGACAGAAAAAAATAAAATACACAATCTTGCATGTGGGCCCTTTAAAGTCTGCAGTAGCAAAGCGATCGTAGTTAGCCTTCTCAAAAACACATTCATCAGCATGTACTGAGGCATACTTTCTAGGGGTCTAACGGTACACATATTTTCAAGGTTTTGACACAATTTGCGATCCTGTGGTTCAGATTTACACTTTGTGTGCTGATTCTACAGAGCTGTATTTATTTACTACTGCACAAATAGCTGTGGCTTAGAATGCACATTTTTTCCAGAACAAAACATTGCATGTCCTTGTGCAAAATACTGATCTCATAAAACAGTGCAGTTGATCTAGAATCAGTGCAAAACTATACAGGATGTCACCGGGTGTCTAAATCATCGATAGTGGTTTTCACAAATCATGGCAAATGAGAGACCCTCAGAAGAGACTGACACATTGGTAATATTTTTAAAATTCAGTGTAGTTGCCAGGTTAATGATTTTACTTTTCGATAATGTATTGAAATTGCTAAACCCATAATAGTTTCTGTATTGATCTTTTGAAATATGGATGGTTGTGAAATGAGATATTTATTACAGATATTTTGGAATTTGAATTTGCACACTGTACGCACAGCAGACTACAGACTGCTCTAAAAACAAAGGTGCCTGGTTTGCATGCATGGTTATAGGAAGAGCCTTTACTTGGTATAGAACATTCACTTTATGTTGAGGTTTAAACTTTAAAAATGTTCTTCACACTCACACATATTTCATTAAAATTTTAAGTGAAGACACCAAAAGTGATGTCACTCCAGAGAACCCTTTCTGGCACCTTGATTTTTTATAGTGTCGTGTTGTGTAGTGTAGTGTTCACATTGACTAGACAAGACTGTACAAGGAGTTTTGTTTCACAGTGATTTTACTCGTCTCTGTGTCCAATCAGTACTGAATGACAACAATCTATGGACTAGTGACAGACAAAACGATAGTAGTGCTACAGTATAGCTGAATTGCTCTGAGTATATCATGTGTACTAATGAATATAATTGCTGTTAACTCATACAGTGATGTACAGTGGTCTATCTGTAGCTATAAAGACAGGAAAATGCAAATAGCATGATCTGTGCATCTTGAAAAGGAGTTTAAGTGGCCCATATCCAGTGTTTTTCTTGTGTTTAATTTTGCTCTCCAAAGTCCACTTATAATGTTTCTATGAATGTCATACTCCATTCATACATGTCCATTTAAAAAAAAACTCTTTTCACCTTATAGAATTAAACAGGCTGTTTTTTGTTGCTGTGCCTTAAAAGCTGATATATGAAAATGAACACTGTATTTAACTCGTAGCCTGGTATTGTGCCTCATTCAAAAAGCAGTCAGGCTGAAACACTCTTTATAACTTCAACGTCAAAGAGTGGGACTCAGCTGAATACGCTAATATATGTAAATGTTATGTTTTTCATGACATCACAAAAACATATATATATGGGCTGTGTGGTCTGGGGAGGTATTGGTATGATTTGTAACTTTGCTTAGATACTACATCAAGATCTTTTATTTAAAAAAAGTGAGAAAAAATCCATTTTGAATGATATGGACGCTTTAATGCGTTCTCACATCCCTGTGCTGTTTCATTATCAGAGCTCTCCTCATTTCTCTCTCATATAGACAGCATGGCAATATTGGTGCTTTTAACAGGGGGATGTGGTATCTTCTAAATTACAGTAGACATGGAGAGAGAATGGAAAGGGGGGGCTTTTGCTTTTCATTTACGCTGGGTAGTAATGAGATTCTCGATCACTGATTCGGAGCCCTTGTTTCTGTGCCAATTATCCTTTATTGTTTCTGTCATAATGTGGTCAAGTACGTCATATCACCCACACATCAAAGAACATGTCGGATTGGAAACATGGGCGAGTGGGCATAGTTAACGCTTAGAAATTATGTTTCCTTAACCGAAGCTGTCACAGTTGAATTTAAAGCTGTGCTCAGAATGGATTGAGCTCATTTCATATTTGCTTATGCATAGAATTCAGCTTGGCTTACACAGGGGTAAAATTGATGCTATTTCTGTGCCACCTGTTGGAGATAAATCATGTTCATACAAATAGAAGGCTGTCTTACTGTGTTAAATGCCTTTACATTGAAGGGCTCAGTAGTCTACTCAGGCTCATGGAAACATCTGTTGCTGCAAGCATGGTCACATATCAGGCTTCGTGCCTTTGGAGATGATATGTCACTCTACACAGTAGAGGATTCCATTGAGTCTTTCTCTTCTGTGAAATTCATGTCTGACTGTAAAGTGATTATAAAGTCATTAAGCTGTTTAATTTGAGTTTAAAGTGGTTAACGAGTATGGAACGATTGCTGCAGTTGATGTACGCACACATGGTCCACATCCAGAATATGGATTACAAATGAAATGGCTTCAGTCATCGCTGATGTGCAACACAGTATGCCAACAACTATGTTCCTTTTTTCTAAATTAATAAAAGGTTCTTCAGACAGCATGGTTGAAGGTTAAACATAATTAAGTTAAAAAGCATATTTCTATATATATGTTGGTTAAATTAGTTATCCTTTAGCAGTGGCACTTCATCTCCTATCTCCCTGGTCTTAGATTCAAAAGGAGGAATTATTCATATCTTATCCAACATCCTGAATGGCCCAGAATGGAACAACGCAGTGCGGATTTTCAGTCCTCTCCGAAATGTTTGTGCTCTGCCTAATTTGCACAACGAGTTGGATAGAGCACCGAGCTAAAAATAGACTAGTATGAGAGGCAATGACAGACAGCAGGTCCGCGCTCACTGCTACTCTGCAGTCCTCCGAGAGAGCGAGAGATGGAGGGAGAGCGAGAAAAGAGAGCGAGCGAGTAATCGCACAGCCTTTCATGACTGCTTGGAGCACTGCACCTTGGACTGTATCTGTGAGAATAGAAAAATCAGTTTGTATGTGCTCAAACAGCAGCGGAGGTAGAAATGTGCAAGAACAGGATTTATTTTCCATACTTGGTACAGCAGCCCAAAACTCAGACCTTCTGGAGAACTGTGGGCAAGACACCTTGTTGGAATTGCAAATCCTTCATGTACATCCCTGCCCAGAACCAGTTATGGAAATCAGCATAAGCAGGACCACACATACCTGTAACTGTGTCCAGCAGCTGCCTGTTAACTCTCAGGGTGGAACAACTTTTTAGGAATCTTCATTATTGTTGCTGTCTGGTAAACAAAACCTGGACTGCTTTCAAAGGCCTGTCTTTTCCTGCTGCCAGTAGCTGAGATCCTTTCAGACAGAAAAAAGTGAGTTTAAGAAGAACGCTATCTTCCTAGGAACCCGTTGGTGCAGTGAGATGCAAAAACATATATTTTGTGATATATAACAAAATTGCCAGAAGTTTTTATTATACCTGTGATATCATATTTTGGGCATACCACCCACTACTACACTCCTAGAATAATAACCCACTGTTAACCTACAACAAGAGGTTTATTTCATCATCATCATCATCGTCAAAAAAAAAGAAAATATTTATATTTTGTGATGTATAACAAAACTGTCGGAATTTTTAATTAGACCTGTGATATTAAATTTTGGTCATACCACCCACTACAACACTTCTGGCAAGCATTTTCTTGAGAGTGAGTTATGAAGATACAGTAAAGGAATGTTATTTTTTATTCCATGTTCAACTGGTTGATGCAAGAAAACAGAAATGTTTTCATATTCAGTTTGGTGATGCATTTGTATGAATAGTTAATTAGTGACATGAGATGTTTTGCATGTTACAGGCAGTTTG